ACGAGAGAGCGCGCGAGGGCTGAAGTGTAGCCAGAGATGCCTTTTCAACCAACTGATTGATCCTGAGCATGCAACAATTGGTGGAAGAGGCTACCCTGGCTGCGCTCCAATCCACGCCCCTACACACACCCTCTTGTTTGCTAGGACCATGTTGGGATGTGTGACAAGGCAATCGTGATATACCGCGCTGGTGGGTATGGCGAGCGACGCCGCGCCTAACAGACGAGTTTTCCTTGTATTGCCTGGCCCTTCGAACAGGAATGTTGAAAGAATGGGGAATCGATACCGCCATGGAGTCTTGTCTTCGCTTCAGAACAGGTTTCGCTGCTAAAACTTAGAAACTGATACACATCTAGAATTTGCCGCGTATAGCTGCACGATACGCCGCGCGCGGCGACGCGACAACTTACGATTGTTTTGTCCATCTCCCTTTTACGATTGTAGACGCCATCGATCCCGGCCTCCGGAAACCCGCAAGCAATAAGCTTTTTCGGAGATTTCTCGCATGGTCTGTGGGCTACATCATTCAAAGCTAGAGAAGCCCATAAAAGACGACATAACATCAAGATCAAACAGTAATTTACCTCACTAATTTTTTTTCATTTTTAAATTTTTCAGTCATACCAGGTCAAAAGTTCAACCTATTAATCAGAAACATAAGACCCACCTTAGCCACTCGGTTGAAAATCAATCCAAGTTTTTCGCTGTTCGTCTTGAAGTGTTCAATGAGATCGGTTGGCAGCTGCCGTAAATCTGGCACTTCACCGCGGGAGAACGCAGTGATTATCTGAAACATTTCTAAAGTGCTTCAAGCGCTCAGCTGCCCAAACCGAGTAATACAGCACAGCTTTCCGAACCTCAGCTGGGATTTTGCTCAGATTGTAACCAACGGGAAGTATCTTCAACATGTCGAGCAACTCCTTGGAGAACACAAAGTTCGGCGGAGTCATGGTGGAGTTTTTCGGTGTAGAAGAAGATGGCGTACTACTGCTCACTACCACTGGACGTTTCTCCTTGTCACTTTCCTCGTTTTTCTTCGCGGGAGGGGGCGGAAGACGTGCACTGTAGTACTCCTGAAACCAAAAAACCTCTGTAAAGTTGAAGGGCGATGAGTGGCAAGAGAAAGGCGTAACAGGGAAAGGTGCCTTTTCATTTTAACGGACGAAGGATGGTGTCCACCACGACACTGGACCTTACTACCCCGCAGAAGCAGGGTTTGGCGTAGCGCCTGCCAGATTTCCACCAATCGTGGTCGCGCCCTGTTCTCCACCAGCTTCCGCAATTGTACAGACGACTTGCGCACGCACAGCCACCCTGGTAACGCTCCGCGGATTCGCTACCAGCGAAGAAGATGGTAATCACCATGTGAAGGACGATTGCCAACAAGTGTTCGAAGAGACCAAGCAACATGAATATGTCCGCCAACATTAGACCTGATACACCCAGCACGTCTTTTACGCCTGCCCAAGTCCTTCGCAAATTTATCGATGTAGTGAAAAGCCGCGTAGCGACCGCACGCGTTCAGTTCAGTCTGTTCCTATGCCAATATTAGTGCCGAGTACTAAGGGACCGGGACTTACCGTGAGACTTTCAGCAATCAAAAGTTCTCTAGCCAGTAGTTTTCCATTAGGAGCTGAGAAGTATAAAGTAGGGGCAATATGAAACCCCTCGGGTATGATTTGATTCCTTACTCACACCTTTCGAGGTGGCATAAATAAAGCACATCCGCACTGACTGCGTGGCTGTACATAGACCTTCGGACCTTCTCACCGCGTGCACCGCTTTTGTGTACTATCTTGACAGGGGGGCTCATGGAAGGGGGGCTCATGGAAGGGCTGGCCATCAATAGTCGTCTTGGCTGATGGGGAGGGGACCGCATCTTACTCGGAGAGTAATTTCATGCGTGTTGATTTTTCCCTTTTCACACATGCTATGCCGATTCTCATTTCGGAAAATCTGATAGGAGTAAAGGAGACTGATCAACTACAGTTAGAGGTGCAATTATTTGATACGACCACCCTACAATGGCCCCAGAAGCGGAAGCACAAAAGCGGAAACGAGCAAAACATCTAGACGACTAGAGGTGGGCAGTCGAACAATACCTTGATTACTTTCGTTTGTTCCTCGTCCAATCCAGGCAGATTTTCGCCTTGAATCACAGCACGAATCAGATCGTGTGGGAGTTTCTCGAGTGGCGGTAAAACTAAAAATCCAAAGTCCATACTGAATGTGTGAAAGTGCTAGTGTAAAGCAAAAGCCGTGTAGCATTGCAATTAGAAAGAGGAAAGGCGAAGTGGAGAAAGAACAGCGCACGCCTAGCACAATCAGCCAATCAGGATCAGAACAAAGGCATCCGACTGAATTAGTGCTGCACTGTCAACGAGTGCACAGCAAGCTTCTAGACCTGCTGCGCACGATTTTCTATTGAATTTTTTGGAAACAGTTAGGGAATCCAAGCAGCGTTCAGAATTTGTGATGAAGGGCGCCGACGTACTTCCAATGCTACAGTGCAACAATGCCTTAACGAAACGCGCCATAGGTGAGTTATGATCGTCTCGCTTGGCAAGCACTTGATTGTGATCGTTAAGCGCGTCGACGGTCGGCTACAGCGCGTTTTCGCGGCGGTTCGACAGGCCTTTCGGGAGACAGGCGCCTGTCAACGCCAAGTCTTCCACGTGAAAGAGAACATGATACCCACGCACCAATCTATCTCACAGAGCTTTTATGTGAACAGTAAGTATGATGTCACGGAGCGCAAAAATCAATACGCATTATTAACAGCATGATGCATAAAATGAAAAGCGCGGAAAATCCAACCTAAAACGCTCAGGACTCATAAAATTAAACGCTACAAGCCTGAAACAACATTAGTTTAAAATGAGTGCCTGCACTCTCAACGAGCGTACAGCTAAGCTCTCTCAGACCCTGCCCACATTTCTATATGAATTTCGCGAAACTGTTAAGGAAGTTCAAGCAGCCGTTTCAGAATTGCGATGACGCGGCGCGAACGTACTTCACAATGCTACAGCTGCAAACAGTGCCTCAACGGAAACAGCACCATCGGCAGTTATGAGGCGTCTCGTTGAGACGATAGTACGGTAGCGCAGTCGACGCTCGGCTACAGCGCCGTTTTCGAACGCGTCCACACGCGTTACAGGGCGTTACAGGCGTCAACGCCAAAGTCTTAACGCCGCCTTTCAAAAGAGAAGGCAGCGTGGTCTCCTGAACGTTCTAAAATTCATTATGACAAAATTAACGAATAAAAAATTAATAACCTTCGAACCATCCTTTGATAGTTGGCCTTTTTGAGCTGCAGCAGCTGCCTCATGCATTTTCAGCATATACTGCTGGACAATGCTGTCCAGGGTTTCCTTTGGAATGCCGGGAATCTGACCACCACGAAGCACATGAGCAACAAGATTCGGATCCAACTGCAAAATTCATAGATGAGGAAATGAAGACAAACCATCGATAGGCGTAATTAGTTTGCAAACGTCGCGCGCGGCAAACGGAAACTGAACCCCGTAATAACCGAGCAACTAATTTGCTGGTAATTCGTAGGTAATTCGCAATTACAATTTGCTTTTTCAGCTAAGAAAACAAAGCCAAGTACCTTGCTGATATCGACATCGCCCAGTCCTGGTACATTGACGATAAAGTTCGGAATCGACTGAATCAGTTGCTCGATGTCACTTGCAACTGGCTGCCCTCCAGTGGCGAAACGTACAAGTGGAGCGGTGAACTTCAAAGAGGAATTTTGAAAAAAAAGGAAATACGGCTCGGTGCAGAGTTAGATGACCAAGTATGATCGAAAATATACCTGCTCGATGGCCGTGTTCAAATTTGGATTCGCTGCCTGACCAGCGCCAGCAGCACTCTCGAGACCTGGCATACTTCGCATAGACGGAATAGCCTGAGAATTTTATTTTAGCGCGGTGAAGCTACCGTATAGGCAAGATTGAAGGTCGTAGAGCTAAGACACACCTGTGACAGCGTGTTGAGAATTGGTAGACCGGCAGCGGCTGTCTCTAAAGCGCCACCTCCGTTGCCAGAGCCTGCAGGAGCCGATCGCAATCCGGGCAAAAAAGCCGATAAGAATGACCTGTAATACAGGAATCTCTACAGTAACATACCGTAGTGGAACTTCGGACTAACCGTTGACTTTGATCGCTATTGAATCCGAGCGTCTTCATGCCTTCTGTCAACGTCTCATTAGCTTTCTTTATCATCAGATCCTTGAGTCTGAAAGGAATTGGCTAATTGGGAGCGAATATAAACCAGACTACTTTGACGCTTTTCTTTTTCCATACACTTAAGAAGCGGGCGATATGTCAAAGACGCGTGCGGTTGTGACACGGTTGTTGCTGAGAGCGACCGCGCCACAGCCGCACGCGTAGACGACCACAACAAAGGTATATAGCAGCAGAATACCAAATAAAATACTCGATACCTGACACCTAGCGTACTTTTCGGGACCAGCGCAGGTGATTTCGGGCTGGAACGGCAGGAACGTACGTATCCGATTTGTCACCAAATATCGCACAAACCAATCAAAATCGTCGTCGCATATCAACGGGTTTCCTTTAAAGAACCATCGTAAGACCAGGCTCCTCACAAAAGAAAGACAGTAAGGTACATGTAAGGCCACGACCTTCACAATAGCAGATCAGCTTTGGAAGCAGCGCAACCAGGGATACTCGGCACGTTAGTTCCAGGTTAAGACATATGTATCATGG